CTGTGGAGATGGCTGATGGGGTGATGGGTTTGGTTTCCCCCCCACCACCACCATCTTGAAGGGTTTAAGGCTAAAAATTACAGGGGGTTTTTAGGATTTTTAATGTATGCTTCTATTTTTAATTATTTATGGATTTTAGCCATTGTTGGAGGGATTGGCGTTTTTTTCTTTTTTGTTATTGTGAGCCGCCCAGAGTCACCCATTGGGGGAGATGGGCAGCATACAAGTTCAACAATCAATCAATCAATCAATCAATCAATCAAGGAATGAATCAGGTAGATTAGCTATAGTTGGTTATAAGGAAATATGGATACCCCTCGCTGAAATGCCTTTGTGCATATATACTCTGGTTTTGTTTCTTTATTTAGATTCCCTTCTTCTTTATAATTGTTTATTTTTCCTTCTCTCTTTTTTTTTTAACTTGGAAAGGACTCGATAGGCGGATAAAAATGCCAAACCCAATCTAAACATCTGGCTGGCTGTGCGACCATCATCATCATTGACAAAATCACCATCAGTCAATTGCAAAAGGCAGCTTATATCCTGCAACAATACCTTTAATACCATCGAACAACAATGTCTGTCTATCCCGGGTCCTTGGGAAGGACTCGACAGGGGGATAAAAATGCCAAATCCAGTCTAAACATCTGGCTGACTATGTGACCAACAATAATAACAACAAACAAAAAAGGAATTAGGCACTATAGCAGACTGCAAAGGCCTCATTCAGGATGGTGGTCCAGTCCTGCTCCCCCAGTCATCCTGTCACTGCCTGGGCTCTTTCCATCCTCAGCTCCCAGGTTGCTGGAAGACTGAAGCAGTCTGGTTAACAAGCAGGAACATTTTTAGACTACGTAGCAGGTTAAAGAACAGGCTGGCCAAATGAAGATATGCCGTAACACAGATTTTGGAACTTTCTTATTGATAACCCAACCCTTTCTGCTTTTTGAGATAAAGTCAACTGATTCCCACAGAAACCCGCGTAGGCAGTGTGAGACAGAGGAGCTGAGTGATCGTTGTTCCCGCACCGTAACTCTTTCTCGAGACTCAGGCAGCCAAGAGTAGCAGTTCCCCACCCCCTTCCACAGCAAAAGGGTACCTCTTACCTCTTTAATCAACAGTTTAAAAATGGAAGGCACTTTGACCGCAATTTCATTGAGTCCGTAGAATATCTTTCTGTATCCAAAGGAGATAAAAAAATGAAGATGCATAAATTAAGCTTTCAGCTGCTGCCCAACAGCCACCCAGCACTAAGACGCACAGCCAGGAGGAGGAAGAGCTGGCAGGTGGGATGAAAGGGGAGGCAGGGAAGCTGAGTGTCCTGCAGGGGCTCCCGGGACACACCTGGGCCCTCTCTGGATGGCTGCAAGAGCATGGAAGCCGAGCTGGGGAGGGGGAGAGGGAGAGGGAGGCAATATTGGTGGGCGAGAGACAGAGAAGCTACTGGTCCCGTGGGAGGTTGAGAGGGAAGATGCCCTCCTCCAACACTGCTCGAAAGATGCCACAGCAGCTGCCTTGGCGTGGAGACATCCCCTTATCCCTGTGCTCCCTGCAGAGGCGCACCTGTAATCCTGCATCTCCTTTGTCAATCCTGTGCTGTGCTCCTGATGAATTGAAGCGCAGGAAGTGGATTCATCCAAACCCCTGCAGGAAATGGAGATGGATGCATGAAACACAGGCACACGCATGTTAGCTGGGAAAACCCCTTGTGCTGCCAGGGCCTCTCTCCTGGGGATGGAAATCAGTGTCCATGTCTTACTTTATGGAAATGAAGTTCTGGATCACGTCATCCCAGAAATACTTCACGCTGTGGTGGGTGAAATAGCGCAGCTGGAAGGCAAGAAATACAGATGATTTTGCTGCTTAAGGGTGAGACTCAGCAGATGCTGCTCATAAAAGCAAACTGAGTATTGACAGCACTAAACATCAAACAGGAGCGCAACACATTTCTACTTCCTGCACCACTACTTCGGTGGGCCAGTTTACCTACAAGAGAGGCAAACACGGTGCACAGCTCCTTCACTTTTCTCCAACTCTGCTGGCCCTGATTCTAAGGACCCCCATCAGGAAAACGTGTCTTCTCACAGAAGCCTTCCTGAGGCTTCTCTTGTGAAATGAGGCAGGCCGGGCAGACCTAACCAAAGCTGCTCTTGGGGACCAGGGCAACACTCTGGCAGTCCTGGGTACCTCTTGAAGCTGCGGAGCCTGGGAGAACCCGTTCAAGATGCCATTCTCTTCAGAGGGAGTGACACACAAAGGAGTGCTGGAACCATTGGCCACCTTCTCCGACGACAGGTGCTTTGGAGCCTCCAATGGATGGTGCCCCAGGGAAAACACAGTGCGGACCTTTGCGCAGAACCATATCTGGAATTCATCCTTCGAAAAAAGGGAGAAAGAAAAAGGGGGCAGAATGAATTTCTACTTCTTTTTTGAGAAGGAGTTCTGGAAATAAATCTTCATCAGGTGAAACAAAATGGGTGTAAGTGCCAACAAGATGCAGAAGCCCCCCAGAGAAGGAGAAGCACAAGCATGGGTCCGGCTGCCAACCTTTTCAGACCTGCTTGTGCCAGCTTGACACCTCAGAGCTGCTTGGCCATGCAGAGCAGAGTCCTTGGGGTCAACACCTTCTGAGACCAAGGCCACAAAGGTGTAGAGGAGCCTCCTGAGACTGGTAGCAGGAGGTCAGAGGCCAGCCCAGGAGGCCTACATGGGAGAGACTTTCCTAGTGGCAGTTGACCGTGCTTTAGCTTCCAGTGAACATTCTTGGTGTGAGAGGGTCTACTGATGGATTAGACCAACTGTCTTGGCATTTTGGGTATTAAGCTGTTACTAACTCACGTGGCCCAACAAACTACATTTTGCTAACCCAGGTTTAGGGGTGAGCATGTTGTGTGAACTGAGCCTTGATTTTCTTTTAGCCTAATCCTGCACAGTCTTCTGCTTTTTATTATTATTTTGTCCTACACTGACAACATTCCAGCTGGGAAAAATGGGATACACAAAAGGTGTGCTGCATTTGGGAGGAAGATGAAAGACCGCTTGCTGGCTCTTGAAGCAGAAGGCCTGAGTGGCACCCCCAGCAGGAATTAAGAATAATCCTGCAATCAAGAGTGCATGGCAGCAGCCCCCACCTGCAAGGCCATTCAAGGCGTCCGCAGCCCTGGTTCTCAAGCCAACGACTGCAGCCGCTCAGGAGCACTGACTTACGGTTGTTCTCAGCAGTACCACCTGGCAGCGTCTCAGCGAAGCCCTCTGGCAGGTTGCCTTCACTCGCCACTCAGGCATCCAGTAGAGGAGGAGGAGGAGGAGGCCACCCGAGCACAGCACCCCTCCAGCCACAAAAACCATCTTCCATCGGCAAAAGTTGTAACCATAAATTTTCTGCATAGAAAGAGACCAGGCAGACCATGGCAGTCCAACAGCTGTAGGGGGGGTAAGAGCAACCCCTCCCCCTGCAGCCGAGCCATGAGTGGCTCACTCAGGCTTAAGAGCAGCTCTTGGCCCAGATGCAACCAGTCCAAAGGGCTTTTGTGGAATTGGCAGCAAGAGCAGTTGTCTTACTGGCCTCCCCCACAACACCATTTGGCATCAGCAGAGCAAGGAAAAGACAGGCAGAAGGCCTAAGCAGACTGCCCCCCACAGCCCCCCATCATCCCATCTACAAGACTGCAAAGAGGTGAACAGCTGAAGTCCCCTTTGGGGCTAACGTTAAGAAACGGGCCAAACTGACAATGGGACAAAGTGGTCTAGAGCAAGGAACCTAATTATACCTCTTTTGATCTATGGGGCACAGCCAAATTTGAAGGCGGCAAAAGGAGAGGGTTGCGATAGCCTGAGCCGCAAAAGCCCAGTCTCATAGAGCGATGGACCAGGAACGCGCATGAGAAGACCCGGCCTCTTACTCCAGCTACAAGATCCAAGAGGATCTCCTCAACTGCACAGCAGGGGCAGAAAGGGTCCAGTGGGTAGGTGATTATGCTAAGGAAACTCAGGTAGCCAGAAGCAGAAATGAAAAGGTCCAAATATCTGGCCAAAAAAGTGTGCCACTGCGGATCTCTGGGAAGAGGGCCAAAGAAGGGAGGGAGCTCCCTTGAACTTCGAAAGGCCCTGAAGCCATCCCCGCCTCTCCTTGGTGCCCCCTCATCCTTTGAGGTCAGCCTGCCCATGCAATATCCCTCCAGGGCCACGAGCCGTAACAGCCCTTCCTACCAAATCCAACATTTTGGAAATGAGTTTTAGCTGCTGGGTTCAATGACACTGCCTTTCTTGTTATGAAGGAGCTGTCTTAGAGAGGCTCTGCTCTAAATAAATACTCAACTGGGCACTCATCTCCATGATGGCCACGATTGGCAAGTGGGCTGAGACTTCCTGCGTTACACCTACCAAAGTTAAGGCAGCTTTGCCCCCCCTATCCCTGAACATCTGCCCTGGCAGGAGGAACAGGTTGTCCATGCGTCAGCCATGCTGAAGGACCCGCTTAGCCCTTCCTCTCCCTGAACTGCTCACGGGACCGACCTCCCTTTGGGAGACAGTGGCCCAGCTGGCTCCTGGGCTTCCCTTGGGGAGCTGGTCTTTAGGCCCGCAAGCAGAAACTGCTTTTTTTGGGAGGGGTCCCTCTGGAAGCTGCTGGGGTGAGGGTGGGGTGAAGAATTTTTGATTTGGAGAAGCCCTTCTGAAGCTCTTGTCTGAGGGGCAATTTGCCCATTGACAGTGGCGCAGTTTGTTGGAGGGAACAAAGCCATCAGGGCCCCTGTAGCCGGGCCCTGAACGAAGAAGAGTCCCGCACCTCACCAGTAAAGGCCTGCCTGGAAGGAGGAGGACGGGTTGAGGCACTACTTAGATTCTATCTATCATGAGTGAGATTCAGTTTGACCCTCTCATGACTCATGACACTATCTCATCGTTTTCCCAGGAGGTCTAGGTGGCATCCATGGGTCTCTTCATTTTATCTCCCCAAAACAGTCCTGTGAGGTAGATTGGGCTGAGCAGGCATGGTTGACCCAAAGTCACCCAGGGAGTTTCCATGGCTGAGGGCACACTGGACCCAGGTTTCCCAGGACCTTGGTCAACATGCAGGCTCTTCTGTGGTAGGACTCAATCTCACAATGGCTGTGCTAAATCTTTAATCTCCGCTTCAACTATTTTCTGCAGCTCGGCGTGGGGGTGCATGCTCCCAGGGCTGCGCAGTGGGGGGGGGGAGAGAAAGTCATCAGGATTAAGAAAGTACCAGCTCCTCCTCTTCGCCTTCCTGAAGCACATTTTCCTCATTTTCCATGGTGTCGAATTCTTTGCTTAGCCACAGGAAACCTGAACTGGAGAAGAAAAGGGAAGAAGCTTTTACAACACATTTACAAAGATTGGCTCCGCCTTGGCCTTCTTGAAGCGTCCCCCAGATACCCTCAAACTGGGCAATAGGAAGAAAAATCGTAATTCTCTCTAAGTGTCACCCACAGTGCAACTGGCAAACCAGCATTCACACAGGGGAAGAAATCACCCCTGGGCCTGGGCAGCAGGTCTGTGGCAACACCCTGGGATGAAATTCTCAGCGTATGCTGAACTATGGAGTTCTTAAAAACATACAAAGGTTTTGCTCCTAGCCACCCTTCTGCTCAGAAAGGTGGGCTATACATCCCATAGAAGAAATCAAGGGCTCTTAAAGTAAACAGAAACAAAAGCTGTCAACCGCGGAAACCAGCTCAACTTGAAGTACCACATCCAGGTAAAGCAGCTGCGAGGACTCTTCCTTGCCCAGACATTTTCTCTGCCACTTAAGTCCCCCTCCCCCATGGTTCCCCAAAAGTGCCCTTTGCCTCGAAGATCGCTTATGTCCCCAGCTCAAGATATTAAGTTGATGGTTCTATATGTGTCTATCCCATCTTCCGCCATCATGGATTCCCCATACCAAGAAATAATGTAATATTGCCAGCTAGGGCACACACCTCCCATAAAGGTTTGACTCGCTTTTATAACAGATCTCCAAAAAGCACACCATTTTGTACGGTATAAGCCATTTGCCGCGCATAACAGCAGCACGAACCACTGCGCTCGTATCCTTTTTCCCCTTGGGACCTGGTATAGGGGCAACGGTTCTTCACTGCCGCTCCTGAGAGGACCATAGCGCCCTTCTCTCCCTGCAAAGGGGCTGTTAAAAGCAAAGGGAGAGGCGTCACCTCACTTCCAACTCATTCTGTTGAACGCAGAGAGTCTCTCCGATGAAAAGGACCATTTTCCAGAGGACAAATCTAAGGTAAGGAGTTACCTGGTGGTCTCCAGATGTTTTGGACTAGTTGCAGACAACAGGGATGGTGGCAAAGAACTACAGGTAGTCCTTGACTTATGACCACAATAGGGACCGGAAAAATTTGTCGTTAAGTGGTGTGACTGTTAAGTGGGGCATCATGTGACTGCACCCGATTTTACAACATTTTTGCAGCAGTCGTTAAGCAAATCACTGCTGTTGTTAAGTGAATGACGCCGTTCCCCATCGATTTTGTTTGTTGGAAGCTGACTGGGAAGGTCGCAAATGGCAATCATGTGACCGCAGGATGTTGCAACCATAAATACATGCTGGTTGCCAAGCGTCTGAACTTTGATCCTGTATCCACGGGGACGCTACGATGGTAATAATTGTGAGGACTGGTTGTAAGTCACTTTCTCCAGCACTACAAACAGTCGCTAAATAAATGGTCGTAAGTTGAGGACTACAGAACAGGACTTTGCTATGAGCACTACCATAGGTTTTACAGTCCAAAACAAATGGGAGGCAACAAGATACTTACTCCTGGATTAAATGATGAGCTTTGCAGATGTGAACTTCTGTACAGGAGAAGGGGCCTTTTAAACTTTTCCATGTTGTCTATGATTTCATCCTCAGTGGGCTTTCCCATCTTGGTCTGTATAAATGCGCTATAGACCTTGCAAGGATACCCATTTCGCCAACAGCTCTGTACACAGCTAGAGAGCAGAAGCAGAGCTCAGAGCAATCTCAAAAGGGCAGGGGGGCTACAACCATCCATTCTACTACTGGGTATAGGCTGGGTTTGGATGCTACCTTTGAGAAACAAGCAGTCAGCGTTTTCCTCCCCATTTCCTCCAAAACCAGTAGAGAATTAGGGCCCTCTCCTATTGCAGTTCCATAATAAAGGTGGAATTGAAGCTCCCTGAAAGAATTAGACTGAATAAACCCACAAGGGAACCCTGGAATAGCCCCACAGAGCCCAGGATCCATTCCCAAAGGGACAACCAGCCTCCCAAGGAGGGTATGAGGCAGCTATCTCCCCAGCAAGCACAGTCCCAGGCCCTGTGATTCTCGCACTGGGCAGGGAAATATCCCACCTCAGGCTCAGACGCTCTTAAACTCCCTGGAACACCCACTTTTTACAGTACTGGCAAAGCCAACTCTGGGCCTGATCCTGAGTAGGCTAAAAGCCTGCCACTTAGATTTGGACCCCAAAATAAAACATCTTCCTCCAATGTGCAGATTTAAAATCTACGCTGTTGTTACCTCCAAGCAGATCCAACAGACTAAGAATGCCTCCATCGGAAAAAGTAAAAAAAAAAATCCACCCTGTGCTTACCTGTTCTGGGTGGAGAGGGGGATGATGATGATGATGATGATGATGATGATGATGATGATGATAACAACAACAACATCAAACCAGCAGTGGTGTCCCAGTGGTTATCAGCACACTGGGTGCCATATCAAAAAACCTTAAACGGCACTTAGAAAATCTGTGCATTGACCAAATTTCCATCTGTCAATTACAAAAGGCTGCACTGCTTGGATTTGCCCCTATACTACGCGAATGAAAGCCAACACCAGCTAAAGAACTGGTAGCTGTGATTTCACATTGCTATGTAGATGATGATGATGATGATGATGATGATGATGCAACTCTTATTGTGTTGTTCCATGAAAGGATGCCTTCAACCATTAATTCTTAACTTCTACAATGTTTTAAAGGGGGAGGCATGTTATCTCAAAAGAGATGGATCTCATGCCGATTCTATCCTGAAGGTATTTCTCCTGCCCCACAGCCCAACCAGACGGCCCATTTGGAAAGGGAGAAAGAGATTAGCAATTCAGTCTTACTCTGCCTAATCTTTATACAAAGCCTTCCCCAGAAACACAGATGCACAGCAAAAGCAAACTCAGTCATTTCGAAAGGACAGCTATATAAGTTGACTAAATAAATTTAAACTAGGTACTCATGAGGTTCACAGACCAAATGTTGGATCTCTAATAAATTAGGAGTTTGAAGTTTGCAGCCAAGCAAAAGCTTCAGAGCAGCGCCTGATTGCCCAGCTGTCCGTAACCAGCTACAGAACAAGAGAGATGTCACATGCCAAGATGGGGAGGCAGCTGACCCCTTGGCCACCATCTCCCAGCCTTGCAAACATCCCTGGTCCACCTCCTGTCCTGCAGGTGTCAGACCCCAACAATGCCTAAGAAAGTAGCAGCACTACTAAAGGCAAAACAGAAACTGTCTGTCTGTCTGTCTATCTGACCCTTCATAGAGAAATATTAGTAAAAAAAAAAAGAAGAAGAAGAAGAAACAAGTGTACAGGACCCAGCTTGGACCATGGAAGCAGACCCCACATCACCATTTTTCAGTGGATATTCTTCCACTGTGGGACACACTGGGTTCCCAAACAACATCATGTACATGCTGAAAAATGTAGGCCTTCTGCAGGCTTAGAAAGGGACTGAGGTTTATGCGAATCCACAACCCTGGGGGGCGGGGGGAATCCCAAGGCGAGAACACCAGAAACTGTCAACGAAGATGCCACTTGCTCAGGAGCTCAGCAGCCGCAGACCCAGGGGAGGAAGGAATGGACCACCCTGGAGAACAGCAAGGCAGATCAACTGGAAGAGGATCTTTCCCCACCAACCCCAGATGCTGCTATTATTTCTCCTGCAGAAGGAAAGCTGCCAACCCTCCCCTCAGAAAGAAGTGGGGTCAACCACATTGCCAGTTCAGAAGACATAAGAAATGATAACTGAGTAGAGAAAGGAGAACATATTTTATAATCAATAATGCTTTGCTTGGTTCCCAAAATTATTTTGCACTTGCAAATAATGCAGCTTCACTGTCAGGCATGTTTGGCAGCTGAAGGGAGAAAAGTGAACAGAAAGCTGACAAGCTTCAACTCCAGAAGAAAGTGAAGTCCACCAGAACAAGCACTGCCTTTTGCAGCTTTGGTCCCTACCTGCACAGCGGGATACCAAAGATGAAACAATCCAAGGAGACACTTGTGGATGAAGCAGCCCCCTAGCTGCCCTCATTCCAGCTCTCCCCTTGCTGGTCCACTTCTGCCTTGCCCTCCTCTGCTGCTTCAGTCAGGCTGCCAAGCACCCACCACTTCCTGCCTGTCTCCAGGCCCCAAGACTGTCGCCATATCACTCACCCCCAGGGATGAAAGCCTGAGAAAGGCACCCGTGGGGTGGCTGGGGGGAGCGTCAGAAAGGCAGGCCACTTGTGAGGCTGACGGTACGGCTCCCTCGCCACCAACAGCTCCCCTCCATCCTCTCCACTTGCTTTTTATCGCTGCAGCCGGTTCTTAATAGCCATCTTGCTATCTCAAAGGGAAGTCCTGCCAATGAACTGTTTTGTCAAAACCTTTAAAAAAGAAAGTCTCCAAAGTGCTTAAACTCTTTTATCAAGAAAGCTCTTGGCACAGCTCGCCTTGGAGCGCAACCACCAAAAAACAACAATGGCATGCTTGAATGGGGCCGGGCTGGAGGATGTGTCGGCAGCCCCCAGACTGTGGGTGCAGCGCACTCTATTCAAAGCACACAAATGGCCTGCTTGGGGCTGAGGGGCCCGTGCGAGCAGGAGTCCTGATGTTATCTCCACAACTGAAAGCCCGGAGGATATTATGCCTCCGACCAAACCCTTCCTTGCTTCTACAATGGGCAGTTTTGTGCTCAGAGCTGGGGCAAGCACACAATGCAAGACCCAAAAATGGTGGAACAGGCGCCAACGCTCTAGCGATGAAGTATGGCTGTTATCACTTGCCCTGGGGAATAAACCTCACAGTGGACCTCTCAGGGGCAGCACACCAGACATGCTGCCAAAAGACACCAAGCCCACGAAGAAAGCAACATCCACCACCTGAAACATTGGGAGGGATCGGGCTGCGGGAGACTGGCCTAGGAGAGAGGTTTCGTTTGTAAGAGGAAAGGAGGTGAGGATTAGGCCCAGGCTCATGTATTACTCACATACTTGCACACATACCCATAACATTATTCCCTTTCAGGGAAAATAGTGTCACGCCAAGAATAGAAGAGTCAGAAAGGCAGGGAAAAGGA